GGACGGTGTCGCCGGCTGCTCTGGTCGGAAAGAAGCCACCATCCCCCAGGAAAGGAACGCAGTGTCCAGAGCGCGGCCGGCTCTCGCAGGAAGGTCCGACCTTGGTCCCTGAAGGGAATCCCTCCCGGCGCAGTCCGTCAAGCGTCTCAAAGCCCGGGTCCGAGGAGCTCCACGGAGCGCGACTCGGCGCCGCGCCCACCCAAGGTCACGCCCCCGGCGGCCGAGGCCCGAGAGGAGGCCGAGGGCAGCTGGGCAGCTGGGCCCGGTCCCCGCCCCATTAACGCGGAGGCGGCCGCCACGCCCCACAGGGCTTCCGGTTGCCGCCGCAGACTGCCCAGCGACGCGGGCCTGACCCGCCGGAGCCTAGGCCCTGAGCCGCCCTCGGGCCACCCCCAGCCCCACCGGCCACGCCCGGCGCCCGGCCCCCGGCCCTCGCTCATCCTGGAGCCCGGCCCGGCCGGGCCCGGCCCCGCCGCCCCCCGCGGACCCCGCCCCCGGGCCCTCCGCGCCCCGCCCGTGCCCCGCACTCCCCGAGACTCCGGCGGGAGGCGCGGCGGCAAGCCGGACGACGCAGCAGCGCGCACCTTGAGGGTCGGGTACTCCTGCACCTTCAGGGTCATGGACAGCTGGGCCGCCGACTCCTGCACCGCCATCTTGGGCCGGCCGAGCGGAGGAGGCGGGCGCGAGGCACGCCGGGTAGTGACGGGCGCGGGGCGGGGCGGGCAGTACGTCCGCACCAATCGCGTCGCCCCGCCGCTGGCTGCGCAGAAAGGCGCGAACCAATCACCGTCGGCCTTCTCCAGCCTCAGCCAATCGGCGACAGGTCTGACGGGTGGCTTCCTCCTTGAATTCCCCGCGGAGCCTTGGCCACAGACGCCTTGGCCCTGGCGGATCGGCACTGAGAGGTGTCCTGGCTGGGCGCGTCCCTAGAGGCGTGTGGGACCCGGTGGTTGCCGCGCGTGGCGCTTGCACTCTCCCGGTGGTCACCCCCCCTGCGGTCACCTCTCGGGTACGCCTGCTGGCGGTCCCCGCGGCCTCCCCTGCTCTGGGTGACTCCTTGCCTGTGTCCCGGTTTTCATGGATTAACCGCCACGGGAGTCCGGATACGGAGAAAGGCCCAGTATCCAAAACCAACTCGCAGGCCAAAAGCCCCCGTAGCGGGAGGGCCCGGAGCCACTGGGCCTTCCTCTCGTGGCACCTTGGTCCCACCATTTCCCATTCAACCTTTCGCGTTTCTCCAGCCTTTCTCACCCCCTTTTTAAAATAAAAATGAAGATTCATTTCTTAGGAAATGATGTCCATATTAAACGGCCTCTTGTGTTCACAAAACACATTCATAAGCAATGTTTTCAACATTAAGAAAGCACCCAGGCGCCGCGGACAGGGGAGGAAGGCCTGTGTGGGGAGACGTGCAGGAGTTCCGGCCAGTAGGCCCTTTCTTTAGAGCTGTTTTCCTTTTTATCCTGGGGATGGAGGCCGAGGATAGCGCCTTCGTCCACAGCTTATGGCCCCGACTCCAGGACAGGAGGGCTTTGGGCACTCCGGCATGGCTTAAAGTAAAGCTTATACATCTGGACTGTGCAACTCAATGAATGTTTGCCCAGGAATGTGCCTCTACCTACGGGCCTGCTGGTCAAGACCTAGGATGGTCCCCAAAGCTCCCTGCCCCTCCTGAGTTCATGCCCCTCAGGGTAGCCAGCATTCTGATCTCTCCATTCTGAGTTTTCTTAGACTTCACACAGGTGGAACTGCACCCTCCAGGTTGATGTTGCCACTATGTCTGGTTCTCTCCTGTGGTCATGGACATGCTCAGCAGCGTGGCAGTATTTGATGGCCACTGCTCCTTAGAGACTTTTGCTTCCATTACTCCAGGGATTCAAGACTGACCAAAAGAAAAGGACACACAATTTCATTTCCATGGCAGAGTAATCATGCCCTGGCACCACTGTAGTAGGAATATTCAGGGACACTAAGGGAAAGGTTTGAGTGTTGGAGAAGTTATGGACCTCCCACAATCTGGTTGGATCATTCAGTCTAGAGGAGTTTTGTTGTACTTGGAGGTATATGATTTGGTAAGTGTGAGATCAGGCAAGGCCGGCAGTGACCAAAAGAGGCAGATTTTAAAAAGGCGGCCAAAGAGGCTATATTTGAGATATCACTCCCAGGCGGAACTCAATCAGAGTGGACAGGAGAAGGGTCTGAGGAGAAACCATGTGGGAGCTTGACTGGACTGGAATTTTATGGGGCTTAGGCAGGAAGGGAAGGGCTTGGGACTGTAAAAGTGTTTTTAGAGTCCCTTGTCCCATTGGAGTTGGTCAGGGAGCTAGCTGAACTCCCGGATTGGCCAGGGGGTCCTGCTGATTGACAGGCATTAGTCAGGAGATCCCACTGATTGACAGGGATTTCTGCCGGTGCCTGATTGATGTTTCTTTGGCACGCAGGCTGCTTTGTCCTAAGTCACTGCCACTTACCTGACAGTAAGAAGTTGTGTGTTTCTTGTTCCTTACTCTAATGATGGATCATGCCCCAACATAACCTCTGGGAGCTTGGCCAGTTTGCACAGAGGAGCATCATGCTGGGAATACAAGTATGTGGATATAGACTAGGTCTCTGTCTTAGAACCTGGTGGCCCTGGTTGGAGGGCCCTACAGGAGCAGTCACCCCAAGACATTGAGGGACCTGTGTCTCTGTGGCCACAGGCCTCCATTCTTTGAGAGAACCAAGTTCATGCCTTAAGCTGTTATAAGTGATTGTCTTCATTGTGGCCCCAGGGATCATTCCCCAGATAAGAGCCAAGAGCCTGGTTGGTGCCCTTTGTTCCTGGGGAGGGCAGCACCTGTGCAACAGCACTGCCCACAGAGGCCTTGGAGGCTTCCCACTCTGACCTGGTGTGCCTGCTGTTGCCAGGATTTGCAGTGCTTTGGGTGCGTTGCATTCTGGGTATGGTAATTTCTAGAAGCTCAGACTGGGAGCTGGGGAGAGTACCCACATTCCGACAGTGCCAAGGACCCTGGCAGGAAGAACAGTGCTTGGCACCAGCATCCCAGTGGTAGATGCCAGGTTTGAGCCCACAGGGCCCAGCTCAGCCCCCAGCATCCATACAAGAAAGGATGCCCCCCACCCAGCTCCTCAATGCACCTCGATACCTTCAAATCTCATCCCTCAAGAATGTCTATGTGGGCTGGGGCTGGGGCTCAGTGGTAGAGCACTTGCCTTGAATGTGTGAGGCACTAGGTTCGATCTTCAGCACCACATATAAATAAAAAATAAAGGTCCATTGACAACAAATAAATAATTAATTAAAAAAAAAAACAAACAGTTGGGGTTGGGGATGTGGCTCAAGCTGTAGCGCGCTCGCCTGGCATGCGTGCGGCCCGGGTTCGATCCTCAGCACCACATACAAACAAAGATGTTGTGTCCACCAAATACTAAAAAATAAATATTAAAAAAAAATTCTCTCTCTGTCTACCTCTATCTCTCTCACTCTCTCTTTAAAAAAAAAAAAAAAAAAAAAAAACAGTGTCTAGGGGCTAGGGGTATGGCTCAGTGGTAGAGCACTTGCCTAGCATGTGTGAGGCACTGGGTTCAATTCTCAGCACCACATAAAAATAAAAATAAACAAAAATAAAGATTCATCCTATATATGTGTGTGTGTGTGTGTGTGTGTGTGTCTATGTCTCCACTTCTGCTCCTGCTCTTCTCCCTGCAGGTGGGGTGGGTAGGGTAGAGTTCTCACCCATCAGTTTTCAGGATCTTTCCATGGCCACCCATCCTCCACAGTCCAAGGCCCACCCAAGTGGCCTCATTGGCATAGACTCAGGTGCAATGGGAAAGGGACTCATGAATAACAAAGCTACTCTTGACCCTCTGGAGATTCCGCGTGTTTCAGGAGCTCAGTGCCAAAAACCAGAGATAAAGAACAAATTTTAAAATATATACAAACATATGTATGTATTTTGTTTTTGTGCTACAGGTTGAGCCTAGGACCTTGCTATTGCTAGGCAGATGCTCTACCCCTGAATCACACTCCCAGCCCAGGGTCAAATATGTTGTTCATCATACTCCAGTACCCTTCACTGCCAGGGTCTCTGTCTCTTTAGTTCTGACTTCTGAAACCTTAGTGTGGGTGGGTGGGTGGCTCAACTAACCCACCATACCAGGGGAGGGGGGGGCACACAGGCCCCCAGAAGCCCCCTCTCCTCCACTGAGTGTCTCCCACGAAGCCTGTCTGGGGGACCTCCCCTTGACTCCTGTATCTCCCCCAGGGTTCTCACAGCCAGCTCTGGGGGCACACCAGCAGGCCCTGCTTTGGTCTCACAGGCATCCAGCACTCAGAGGCACCCCAGCAATGACTCACGCATAAAAGCCAGCACCATGTCTCCTGGTTTTACAAAAGGAAGGAGCTTTATTATGAGGCCAACCACAGGAGGGCAGGTACTGTAAGCCCAGATCTGCTTCCAGATCTACGACATCAGAGGAGTTGTCAGACAGAAGAGCAGGGGATACTTGCTTACTGAATGGCAAGAACCCTTGTCTGCTAGTGTGGAGGGCACTGCACCTCTTCACGGGTCACACGCTTCATTTCTTGGGTGTCATCACGCTCTGTTCAGGGGGTTCTGAGCTTGAGACATCAAAAGGTCATGAAACAGCCAGGCATGGTGGCCCCTCTCCTGCAATTCCAGTGACTTAGGAGGCAAGAGGATCACAAGTTCGAGGCCAGCCTGGGTAACTTAGCGAGACTGTCTCAAAACAAAAATTTTAAAAGGTCTGGGAATGTTGCTCAATGGTAGAATGCTTGCCTGGCATGTATGAGGTCAGCAGTCAGTTCCCTAGTAGCAATAATAGTGATAATGATGTCATTTCCATGTAAGCTGGAGTCTGTGCTGGACTTGCTGGACTGAAATTGCCCTGTGGTATGTTGACCTGCTCATCTCGTGAGAGGTGGCTCAATTGTGTGTAAAACTTAATCTTGAATAAAACCTGTACTTCACATCAAATGATAAGATTACATATAGTTGAGTGGTTTATTGGCAAGAAAATAACATGATTTGATTTTTTTCCTTGAAATTATTTAGTAGTGGCAACCTATAATTAGTTTCTACGATTAGATAGAGATTGAATCCAACCAAACCACATAATTGGTATTTTCACAACATCTGCTTATAAATGTTTCCGAGGAAACGGTTTCCCAGCTGCCCAGAGGGAGGAGGCCCAGAGGCCCTGCCTAGGATTGCCAGGAGATGGGCAGCCTCCAGGGTCCTAGTGGGCTCCACCAGGGGTAGGTGCTGGGGTCTGAGCTTGTTCCTACTGCAGAAATTGTAAGAAGTTCCTTCTAGAAGGTGGCATGAGGCCTGAAATTAAAAGGCTGGGGTGTAGGACAAAGTTAGTGTCTTGGGTCCAGAAAGGCCTATCACAGGTGGACAGTATCTCCAGCAGAGGTACAGCCCAGACAGGGCACCGACCAAGAAGAGCTCTGGCGAAGTGCAGCTGGTCTTGTGTGCCCCTGCACCTGCTAAGGAAACCTGGTGCTCACACGCACACAGGTGGCCTGCAGGAGGGTTGCCACCTGGAGTTGTAGGGCTGCAGCAGTACCAGGGCCAGCTGTGGGGAGGAGATGCAATGGCAAGGCAACAGCCCGGCCATCTGGCCTGAGGTCTCCACACGGTCACTGAGACCCTTACTATTTGGGGTCAAGTTAGTAGAATTAATCTACTGCTTTCCTGACTCTCAGCCATGGAGCCAACTGATAATTAGGAGGACACTTACAGCCACAGGTAGTCACCAACACACGAAGTCACAACAGAATGTCCCAAGAGGAGACAAGTGTAGCGACATCCCGGTGGCAATGTGTCCAAAACTGGAGGAAACAGCAGAAATGGAATACCCTCTGCAGAGCCCAGGAGCAGACCAGGGCCTGACTGGTGGAAACCGCCAGGGGGCAGCCAGGGAACAGGGGCACATCACTCCCCTGTGTCCCAGAGTCGTCCTCAGCGAGGTAGTGGCCAACAGCCAGTTCTCAGCCCCCAGAGTGACACACCGACTGTTACTTCCCATATTCAAAGCCACGCTGTGAGCTGGTGCCATTGTGCTGTGGCCCATGTTAGAACACACAGAGAGTGACATAAGTGCAGTCCAGCCTGGAAGGGCCGTCACCTGGTGTGGCAGACACACCTTCCCGTGATGGGTTCTGGTAGACACACCATACCACATCAGCCAGGGGGCAGTCTGGGACCCTGCCTCGGTGTCTTCTGTGACCCTTCCAGTCTGTCTCTCCCCAGGGACACTGTGGCTGTTTCTCTGCACAGGTTGGTTTGTCTGCTCTTAAGCTTTGCGTTCAGTCATACCCCTTACCCTTGGGAATATGGTCCCAGGCCCCCAGGGGTGCCTCAGGCTGCAAATTAGTCACAGCGAGAGATTAGCAACAACTAATGATAAAAAGAACAACTGTGACAACATACCATCACAGAAGATATTTAAGCCAGGTTTGATGACACACTCCTGAGACAAGAGGAAAGAAAGTTCAAGGCCAGGCTCAGCAACTTAGAGAGACCCTGTCTCAAAATAAAAACAAGAGAGCACCCCTGGGTTCAATCCCCAGCACCACACACACACACACACACACACACACACTTAAAACTTATACATTGCTTATTTCTGGGATGTTCCATGCAGTTCCTTGCACCACAGCAGAACACAGGGAGCTGTGAGGTGGGAAGTGGGGCGGGGGGACGAGGGACACTTGAGTGTTCCCATCAGGAGATGGCATCCATCTGTGTGAGGTGGGAGTCTTCCTCTCCACGGGTGTGCCCCCTGCTGCCCACCGTCCTTCATTCATCCTGTGTGGTGCCAGCCAGGCTGCCTGCCATAGGGCTGAGTTGGCCCACTGCAGAGGGTTCTTGTGCAGGGTCCTGAGATCAGGTCTCCTGTCTCTCCTGGGGTATGGCTGGGAGTGGAATCCTGCCTAGCAGACAGTGCTGGGCACCCACTGGGGTGCAGGCTGTTGCAGGCAGGGCTGCTTTACCACTGAGCCACACCCCAGCCCCTTTTATGTCTTGTCTTGTAACAGAGTCTCCAAAGTTGATCTGGCTGCCCTCAAAGTGCGATCCTTCTGCCTCAGCCTCCTGAGCCACTGACTTGGATTACACCCAGCTTGAATGTCTCCTCCTGTTCCACAAAAAAAAAGAAAAAAGAAGGAAGGCAAGAAAACCATCTGCCTTGGGTTTTTTGTTTGTTTTTTGAGACAGGGTCCCTGTCCTGCCCAGGCTGGCCTGGGACTGCTGGGCCAAGCAATCCCCAACTCAGCCTCTGGAGCAGCTGGGACCACAGGCACAGGCCGCCTTCCTGGCTATGTATCAGCAACTATGAAGAGTTAGACATTTACGTCTTTTGCCCCAGAGAACCTGCTTTTTAAGACTCCTTCTACAGAAAGGCCCGTAAGTGTGTGGAGACCCAGGACAGTGAACTCGGGTGTGGTCACAGGCAGCCACGAAGGGACAGTGTGTCCCATGGGGAGAGGTAGTCAGAGCTCAGGGGAAATACACCTGGCAGAGCTGCCTGGACAGGCACGAGCCTTCCAAGCTACATCACCAACAGCGAGATCAAGCCACCTGCCTGCTGTGCGCCACAGGGGCAGAAGGTGTCCCCTGCCCGCCTGTGACCACGATCTTATTAGACCTTACCAGGGTCTCTGCATATGTAATCAAGTTGTGAATCTCGAGGTGAAGTGTCCACACTGCGGGCAGCAGCTAACCTGGATGACAGGTGTCCTTCTGAGAGAAAAGGACCTGAGACACAGGGAAGAGGTGGGGCCAGAGTGAGTGGTCACGGCCCTGGAGGCCCCAGCCCTGGGACCTGCAGGGAGGAGGCCCAGGGAGATGGGGATGGGGGGACCAGAGTGAGTGGTCATGGCCCCGGAGCCCTCAGTCCTGAGGCGGCCATGGCAGAGGCATCAGACACTGGGGACACCTGGGCCTCAGCCCCCCCACTCTGACGGAAGGAATGAGTTGTGTTTCCAGCCACCAACTGGGTACTGAGTCGTCACAGCAGGCCCGGGAGTGTGACTTCCTTCTCTCCAAAAGAAGCAAGAAGAGCAGCGCAGGTCGTGGGAGAGGGGCCTTCCTCCCTGTGTTTGTGGTCCTGCCTGGCTACTCATGAGCTTTGCCCTGCAGCTCTGGACTGGAGGGCCAGTGGGCCGAGAGGGCGTCAGGCCAGGACGCCAGCCGACCCTCCGCTCGGGCGGGGGCTGTGAGGTCCTCCCGCAGCCCACCCTTCCTTTCAGCCAGACTCAGGTGCTGGATTGCTGGGTGGAGCCGGAGACAGTCGCACCTCCTGGGCTCCCAGCTCCTTCCTTCCGCTCTCTTCATCCTCCCCAGGCCCAGAGACTCCCAGGAGGAGCTTGGAGACTGAAGGTGAGCGTGAGGGGTCCTGAGTGACAGCGCTTCCTCTTCTGGCCACTTCCCCAGGTAGTGACTGAGGGTGCAGTGAAGGGAAGGTGGGAGGTGTGGCTGGCCACCAGGCTCCTGGGTACTGCTCTGCGGTCCTGAGAGGTCCTCAGAGGCTGGCTGCATGCCACAGCATGGGGGTCTCACCCCTGCAAGACACAGGTGGGCGCACCCTCTCCACACAGGGAAGGGCTGCGGCAGGAATCCAGGGCCACTCTGCGGCAGGAAGAGCTATTTGCAGAGGCAAGGCCAGGGTGTGCCCAAGTTGTGAGCAGCCTGGGTGGGAAGGGGCAGTGGGCCAGCACAGTGAGGCACAGACCTACTCCACAGCCCTCCCACTGACCTGCTGGGAATGGGCCACAGGGCAGATCCCAAGCAGAACTGGGATGGGAGGGGGCAGATCTGCAGGTGGAGGAATGACCAGCACTCAGATAGATTTGTTTTAAAATGTTCGGAAGAGCAATGAATCCCTATTTGGCTGTGGATAGCCAAAACCAACAAACCAACAAACATCATATGTAAGAGCACAAATACTGACATTCTACACTAAAATAGCTTCTATACTGTGGGTACTTCAGAAGTTAGTCAAACCCACTGTCATGTGTCTTCAAGAAGTCAAAATAGGGATTCATTTTGTTGTGTAATAATTCCCCACGGTAGGATGAAAACAACCAGACCTTAGGGGACCGCTTCCTGCTGGAGGGGGCCTCCTTGTGTGGCCTCCGGGAGGCCCTGCTGTGGCTGCCTGTCACTCTGACGGCTGCCTATTGAAGAGGGTCCATGAACAGATCAGCCCAGCCCTACACAGGTTGCAGAAAGCCTGAGTTTGCAGTTTGCTCTGCACATAATTTGATCTTATGCTGGAGGCTCCCACATTACATCGTTATCACAAAATTATTCTTCAATAAAAGCACCTGCTTTGTGATCCCAATTCTATTAATTTGGCACGTCCTTTCATCCATCACCAGGGATGCCAGCAAAGTCACTTGTCACAGGTCCAGAACAGACGACTTGATCTACTAGAAAAGTACGTGGACCTGCCAGTTGTTAACAGTGCCGTGACCACTGCTGCTTCAGGTGTGGCCCTTGGTAACTGGACTTCTTAAGCAAGTGCCCCGTCCTTCTGGAGAGGAGGCTGTGGAGCGCCTGTAGTACACTGAGGTCAGTAGGCCTGTCCACACCTCCCTTTGGGGAGCAGTACAGGCTGCAGGACAACGGATGTGGTCAGTGAGCTCCCTGGGGTAGCCTGGGCCCCCAGAAGCCAGTGCTGCAAAGCTGGAGGGCAGTTCCTAATTGCTTGGCCAAAATAGAAGGTGGGTCTGGTAGCAAAATTTTCCGTATTTTTCGCCTTATTTACTTAAACAATAGAATCTGCTACATCAATAACATGGTTCTTCCTGCCAACTAACTGTGTGTGTGTGTTCCTCCTGCCTTCGCCAGAGCCACGGAGCAGGAGCAGGACGGCTTCTCTGCCATGTAGCAGGTTCCCATTCCAGTCCCCACCATCTTAGTGAGGTCTCAGTGACGAGTGTGTTGGGAGGGACAGAGCTGGGTCTTTCAGGAGCGGCCTCTGGTCACTGTACACTCTTCCTGCCTAGCAGAGGGGGTCCTGCAGGCCAGGACTCACCCCACTCCTGTCTGCAGGACCTGCGGCCAGGCCACCGTCCCTCCTTTCTCTTTTCCCACTCAGATGGAGGGGGCTCCAGACCAGAGGGATTCCAGGAACATGGTGAGCAGTAAGAAGGGCTCCAACTCCCGACACCCTATCCCCAAAACTGGCTGTGCAGCACCTGCATGGAGCCTAGGACGTGGGCTCCAGCCTTGGTCAGAGCCCTAGGGCTGACCTTGCCCTCAGTCTTTGCAGGCCATGAGGAACCGGTGGAAGAGGCTCCTGGCCAGCTGCTCCATGTGCTCGCCTTCCTGCCTCAGGGACAGATACCTGAAACAGCAGTTTGGAAGAGGGGAGCTTTCTCGTGCTCATGGCCTCAGAAGGTTCAGTCCACAGTGGGGGTGGGCTGGCTCCAGGGAGAAACATCCCGATGGAAGTCACGGCAGAGGAAAGCTGCTCAGCTCTGGCAGGCCCCAAGCACAGAGAGATGGAAAGGGAGGAAGGGGCAGGGGACAAGATATACCTTCCAGCACACACGCCCAGTAGCCCCTTCCTCCATATCACACCACCCCCTGCAGTCTCCATCCCCCCAGCAGCCACATCACGGTCCATCCGTGGATTAATCCACTCTGAAGGTCATCGCCCTTGTGATCCAGTCCCTTCCCAAGAGCCTATCTCTGGACGCATGCAAGCCTTTCGGGGGCACTCCAGATCCAAGCGAAAACAGCTATGATCTGGAGCTGGTGTCGGGCTGCATGCGATAACCTGGTCAGTGTCTTTGGGAGGAAACACGGGTCCTGGGTCAGCAGCAGCCATTGGAAATGAAGACTCTAAGATGCACCACAATGACATCAAAACTTCAAAGCTCTGAGGTGTCCCTCTGCAAAGATGGGCACAACTTCAGAGTGGGAAGCAGCAGGCCTTTCTAAGAGAAGTCAAATGGGGCCCGAGGATGGGAGAAGCAGGCTGCGGCTGGTGTCCGTCTGTGTGAACTTAGCTGTTGCATCCCATCTCTTCTGGTGACTGTGGAGCTGGACCCTCTGCTGATCTCTAGGCGTTGCTCAGGAGATGGCCGGAGACACCTGTGATCCACGCAGCTGTGTTCAGCTGACAGCAGCTGCCTCTCAAAGCAGAGCGGGGTCAAATGGAGGCACCCTGAGCATGCCCTCTGTGAGCTCCTGTGTGCTCTGTTTGGCTTCTGTTAAACCAGATGATGTCACCATTTTTGCTTTCAGCAGTCAATGGTCTCAGAGAAGGCTCTGTCCAGATGGCTCTCTCCCTCTCTCCTGGCTCACACCTCACCTTACTCGTTCCCAGCTTCAGGCCCCCCGCTTCCACCCGCTGTTGGCGCTGGCCTGCTGGAAGGAGCCCCTCAGCAGAACCCATCTTGCTCCTTCTCTTTGGCTGGATGTGAGAGCCGCTCGGCCTGTCATTCACTCTGCCCTGCAGGGCGGTTCGCTGACCTCTGGCCGCTGTGTCTTCTGATGAAATGTGTTCTTGTCCCTCACTTTTCCACCTCTGCCCCTCAGCAGTGCGGCTGGTGTGCCGAGGGTCTCCCGGAGCTTCCCTTGTTCATCAACTTTGGAAAGTTCTAGACCGTCATCTCCGCACACACTATTTCAGACCCTGGCCCCTCTGTGTCAAGCCACACACTCACTAGTCCACTTGGCCACATCCCACGGGTCCCAGATCTCTTTTTCAAAACTCCTTTCCTTTATTGGGCCTCAGTTTGGGTGATTCTGGTTTCCTGTCAAGGTTACTAGCTCTTTCCTCTGGAGTGAAGCTCATCTAGTTAATTCTCCATTCCTGACATCACATTTTCATTTTTAGAATCTCCATTTGGCACTTTTTTTAAGTTCCCACTCAGCTGCTTAAGTTTCCCACCTGCTTGCGCATGTCACCCACGTTTCTGCCACGTTCTCTATCACACCAGTCCTGGTTGGGTCTCTTTGGGCCATCGGGCTAACATCTCCAGATCCACTTCTGTCAGCACCTTTTTCCTTCTCCCATGGACCATTTTCTTGCTTTTTGTGTGTGTCTTGTAATTTTTTGTTTTATGCCGCTCATCATGAATAAAGACTTGTTGACACAGAAGTGATTGATACTTATCTTTATCAAATAAAGGACAGGCTTCTTCTTTGGTAAGGACACTGAGTGAGGGATGAATTGATTTATTTGCAGCTGAGCTGGGTCTGAGCTCTGTTGTGCTTTCAGTGAAATTCAGTTCACCATGACCATGAGTGTAAATATTTTGGAAGATGAATCGGAGCTTCCCCTCCTGAGGAAATTTAACTCTGAATGCTGGTGAAATGCTCAGGCCTCTCAGGGCCTCACCGTCTGGCCTCCTGAGCTGGGGGTTCCTCTCTGCCTTGCATCACATATCACTGGTTGCTCTCCACGCTTGGTTTTCTGTGACTCAGGACATCTGTCTGCCCTCTGTTCTGTCCCAGACTCAGGACCATGGCATGTGCTCAGCCGACGCCATGCATGTGGGGGGCTTCCCCCAGGCCCCCCCCACCCAGTGTTTAGGACATGACCCCCACACTCCCTGCAGACCTGCCTGGGGTGGAGAGGGATACTCAGCACTCCAGTCCACATGTACCAAGTCCAGCCAGCTTCTCCCAGCACACATTCCTCCTCAGACCTCTACAACAGAGAGGCAGTCATGGTCCTTCTCTCCAGGAAAACTCTGATGCCTCTAGTTGATCCAAGGTTCTCCATATCCTCAGCTCTTTGATGCAGTTAGAAAAAACAAACTGTGATGCTGTGGCATGTCCCCTGGTTCTCAGGATGGGCAGGATGTCCCTTTGTGGTGTCCATGTCCCCGAGGAGATAGCCATCCTCTCTGAAGCCTGATTTCAATGGAAGAGGAGACAGCAAGGCAAGGTGTGTGAAGGCCAGGGTTCTCACCTGTTGGTGCTCTGACGCCTTGTGCTCTGCCGTCACAGTGAAGCACATTGTCACCCACAGTGGAGTGTCTCTTTTGCTTTCTAAGAAAGAGTATTCATTCTGGATTTTCCACATTTCAAGACTTGCGTCCTGCACAGTGGTGATGTCTTCACGCTGAACTCCATTGGGCTCTGACAGGTTTTTGCTGTTTATTTTACTCACTTAAGTTCAGAGAATTTCAACCTTTCCTAGGGCACTAGCAACAGTTCAGGACCTTTATAGAAACTACGGAAAGAGTTGAGTTGGCCAAACCACCTCCAGACCCCTTCTCTGTGGAGTGTGGGTCCTCCAGCGGCCAGGGCTCCACATTGTAGACAGGAGGCCCACGTAGGCTGCTTGGACAGGAGTGTCCACCTGAACAGCAAGGAGCCATGCAGGCCGGGCAAGGGGGAGCTCTCTGGGCCGCCATGCTCTGCTCACAACGCCAAGGGGTTCCAGAATTCTCCACCTCACCTGGCCTTTGTAGCCCCTGGGGCAGGTGTTTGTCAAGGTGGAAGGCGGGGACACACCCCGGGGGCCTGTCAGCTCAATGACCACCTGAATACCAAGGGCACGGGCCAGCCTGGCCTCCACCTAGGTCCACCTAGGCCACCTCCTGCTGCCAGAACAGGCTGCAGACACCCTCTGGATCCAGGGGACACGGGAAGTCTTCGCTGTTTCTGGGGGTGCACTTGTGCAGTTCAGTGCAGGAGCTGATGCTGGCTCTCCCTGTGACTTCCCAAGAGCACAGTGGGACAGGACTGCCTCAGACAGCAGCAGCAGCCCAGAGGTTTCCTTAATGGAGCTCGGCAGAGGAGGTGGGCTCCAGCTTGCACACAGGGGTGAGGTGTGAAGAGGCTGTGGCTGGCAGGAGACCCGAGATCCAAGATCCCAGTGCCCCCTGGGAGCTGGGAGGCTGCTCCTCCCCCTCACCCGGGAGGGAAGGATCTACAAAGCAGGCACTGCCTTCTCCTTCCCCCTGTGGGCCACTGTCATTTTGGCCACAGAGTTTGCTGACCATGAAATCAGCCGAGGTGGGAGGGCCTCCTGAGGGTCTCTCGCCTGCCCCATCAGGGCCCCCACCACCCAGCTTCTGTGCTGGCAGCTTGCCTGGTCCACATGCAGACGTGGCCTCTGAGGTGGTGTGGCTCTCTCAGTCCTCGAGGCCCCACCCTCACCTGGACGTGCTCCACACTCTCCAGGGCCCCTGGGCTCTCTGCTTGTGAGCAGCGGGGCCTTGTGTGTAATAGGACATCCAGGAGCCCGTGGGAGGGGACCTGCTCAGGTCACATGGGGCCTTTAATTAAACTAGGGACGGCTTCAGCTGTTGCTTCTGTGATCAGCATGTTGGCCCCGTTCACCCTCCTGTGGTGGCTGCCGGCTCTGTGTATGCTGGGCCATGTGATGCTACAGGCAGAGCAGGGCCGAGGGGCCAGGTCCTCCCACACAGGCTCTGCTGGGATCCTGGTGACACACGCACAGGGGCAGAGCTTCAGCGGAGCCCCCGGCTCGAGAGCTGGCATCAGCAGGCAGCGCCCCATTCATGCCCTGCAGAGGTGCCAGGAGCACGTGGGGTGGACAGGAGAGCGAGGGAGGCGCTGGCAGGACCTGGAGAACCGCAGTGTGGCCACGCGAGAGGAGCAGAGAAGGCAGAGGAGGGCAGCCTAAATAAAGCCCTGCCACAAGGCGGCCACGAAGGCGCTCCTCAGGCACCGAGGCACAAGTCGGCCTGGATTCTAGCTCAGCACCAAAAGCACAAGCAACAAAATGAAAATAAAAACACAGGACTTCACCCAAATTAAAAACCCTGTGCATCAGAGGTCATGGTCAAGTGGGTGAAAGGCAAGAATGGGGGGGACCCTGACAAATCGAGCATCTGCAAAGGGACACAGAAGGAGTCCCGCAGCCCCACTCAGACGCGGCCCAGCCAGGCGCAGCGGCCACACCTGCCATCCTAGCCCCGGGGAGGCTGAGGCAGGAGGGTCACAAGGTCAAGGCCAGCCTCGGCCACTTAGTAAGACCCTGTCTCCAGATAAAAAGGGCTGGGGTGCAGCTCAGTGGTGGAGCACCGCAGGGTGCCGTCCCCCCACAAGGAAAAGGGAAGAAATGGACAAAGGACTTGAGTAGACATCTCTCTGGCCTGTGCTCTGGGACAACGTCAGCACAGGCCAGTCAGCACAGCCAGGTGTCCTTTCTGTGCATGAGTGGGGCCACTGTCCAAGGCACGGGAAACACGGGTGTGACTGATGGGCAGCAGAGTTGGAAACTCCTGCTGTGCCGGTGCATGTGCATCCCGCGGCAGGGACTTGCCCGGGAGCTGACAGCTGTCCAGACAGGTTTTACATGAGCCGTGCAGCACCACTTACAACAGCCAACAGGGTCAGACGTGTCCACCCACCAATGAGGGACGGGCCAGCTCAGTCTGTCCCTGTGATGAATGAAAGTCACATCATGCACAAACCTCGAGCACACGTGCTGGGGACAGGCAGACACAGGCTACACATGTGCCCTTCCACATCAACAAGATCCCCGAGGAGGTGAATCCTGGGAGGCAGAAAGTGGGCTGAGGGAGGACACAGAGACGGCCAGGCGAGGGCCTCTTTCCTGTTGCTGTCTGCATGTCTTCTTTCTTCTCTTCTCTTTTTCTTTTGGTGGGACAGGAACTTATCTTCCGTGACCTCACTTCCATTCTGTTTAAGTGTATGAGAAGAACAGTTCAAGCCCACCAGAAGGTCACCCGAGACCAGTCTTCAGCAGGGGACTTCTGAAGGGGCACAGGGGGCACCTGTACCCCTGGCCAGTCTGCAGCCTCAGGTTGCAGCAGAGAGCTGCTAGAGCAGCCCACACACTTGGGACCCTCCTGCGCACAGGCTCCTCTGTTGAGGGACTCAGGGGGCACCTGGGACCTCCTGGGGCACAGCCTCCTCAGGGGAGGGGCACAGCCTCCTGAGAAGCAACCTGCTCTTCCTTTTCAGCCTCTTCGGGGTCTCATAGAAGTAGTAGCCACCTCCACAGGTATCCACGAGAAATGGTGCCACTTGTGTGCAGGACTTCTGGGGCCAGCCTCCAGCACATCAGGCCAAAGGCAGCCCCCAGGCTTCGTGGGGTGGCAGTGTCCACGGGGCACAGGGGAGAGTCTGGGTTGTGGAGCAGCGGCAGGCATGTTGGCATGAGAGGCCTGTGGGAGTGGCTAATGGTCAGTCCTGATGGGAACCTTCCAGAGTCATGGCTGCGGAAAGACAGTCCAGATCTGGCTGGTGAAGGCTCCAGGAGGGAGGCCGCCAGCAACAGGGGTGGCCAAACTCCATTGCTGCCCACTGGCTAGTGTCCTGGAGGCCATAACCTGACGTCAGCAGGGGTTCAGTGGCAGCCCTGGCCTGACTCCTCCCGGGGCCTCTTCAGGCTCATGACACCGATGCCGCTGCCTTTCCTTTTGCAGACACACCATTCCATTTGGAAACCAGGGCCATGCCAGCTAAGCAGGCTCTGGCTGTGAGGAACTCGAGGACACCCTCCTCCCACATTTGCAGGACACCTAGGGCTCCAGGCATTGTAACAGTTTCCTTTTAATTTAGAATAGGAATCAAGAAGGAGGCCTGGTGTCTGGAACCACCCCTGAGTAGCACAGCAGAAGCGCGTCTTCTTGCTGGCCACCTGTAGGTCTTCTGTGAAGAAATGTGTACCCGAGTTCTCTGCCCATTTTTAGTGGATTGTAGAAGCTCTTTATATATTCTGAATATTAACCCTTTTTCAGATGATTTGCAAACCTCTTTTCATATTTTGTAGTCTGTCTTTTCACTTTCTTTTTTGGTGGGGAGGTCTGGGGATTGAACTCGGGGGCACTCCACCACGGAGCCACACCCCCAGCCCTATTTTGTATTTTATTTGCAGACAGGACCTCACCGAGTTGCTTATTACCTTGCTTTTGCTGAGGCTGGCTTCGAACTGTGGTCCTCCTGCCTCCCGAGCCGCTGGGATCACAGGCGTGTGCCACCGTGCCGGGCTTCACTCTCCTAGTAGTGCCCTTTCATGGAAGAAAATTCTAGATTGGATGAAAATCACATTGAGATCTATTTTTGTTGTGAGGTTGCCTGTGCTTTGGGGGCCATACTGCACTTGTTGCCAAATCCAACAGCACGAAGACCCCTCCTCCTTTTCTCCTGCGTCTCGCCGTCTCAGCTGGTCAGTCAGGTCTGTGGCTCACGCCGAGTCACTCTTTTCGTGTGGTGGGAGATAGGGGCTCATTTTCTCTGTTTCCTCAAGGCCGTCCAGTCTCCCAGCACTGGTGGAAAACTGTCCTTTCTCCGTTGAATGGCCTTGGCACTCTTGTCAAGTATCTGCTGACCATGCAAGAGGGTCTTTATCCCCCTCCTCCTTCTGCTGCTCCTCCTTCTTTGGTGGTTCTGGGCTTTGAACCCAGGGCACTCTACCACTGGGCCACATCCCCAGCACATTTTATTTTTTGAGACAGGGCCTCACTAAGTTGCTGAGGCTGGCCTCAAACTTGCAATCCTCCTGCCTCAGCCTCCTGAACAGCTGGGATGAAGGCGTGGCCACCACACCTGGCCCATGAAGGTTTATTTCTGAGTCCTTTATTCTTTCCTTCTGGTCTGTATGCCTGTCTTGATATCAGTATCATGCTATTTTAATTACTCTTATAATTTTGTCGTAAATTTCAAAGCTGAAAATCGGAGTCGTCCAACTCTACCTCTTTGAACTATGCCAAAGGGAGTCTTTCAGAAGGAAACTAGAGGGTGCTGGAGAGTGGCTCACAGCCAGTGAAGGAGTAAAGATTTCAACAAAGGTACATACATGAGGAGTAAGAAAAGCTCGGGCGCCTCCATTCTTGGTCTGTGACTCCACTTTTCTTATTGTCTGTAGGGTCTAAAACGAGATGTGTAAAAGCAACCATTAATCTTGGATATGGGGGGAAATGTAAAATGATGCAATTTGTAGTGAACTACAGAAAGTAGGAGCAGTTCTCATGCTGCTGCAGTTAACCTGGTGTGAGTTCCAATCGCATGTGAGGTGTAGCGCATCCCCTGGGCAACCACAGAGGCGGGGCTGTGCCGTTGCACAGTGGCAAAGGAGGAGGGGACGCCGTGAGAGAAGGCAGCAATACAGAGGACGGAATGGCCGTGAGGCACCGCGAGGGCCACAGCGAGGGAGAGGGGCCCTCCCTGTCTGCACTCTGCACACTAAGCCAGAGGGGAGCAGGAGGATCAAGAACACATCCCCACCGCAGGCTGTCCACCAGAGAGGCCGTTCAGACACAAAGACACAGAGGGACAGAGGGGACAGGAGAAGGCAGGTGCGCACCGAGCAGGGGACACTCTATAGGAGAGAAGCTTCCCTGTGGGAAAGGTACGATGAACACCAAGGCACCTAGGACTGACCCTCGGAAGATTCAATACCCCACTCTCAAAGGACAGAGCGTCAGACAGAGGACTGACAGACACAGAAGACACCCACCAGCAGCACGGTCAGGGGCCCGGGGATGTCCTCCAGGACAGAATACGGACATGCAAGGCCCCAGCGCAGGACAGCTGAGGACAGGCAGACGCCAGCCAGGCACAGGGGCACACCTCTGACCCAGCAGTTCAGAGGCAGGAGGGCTGCAAGTTCAAGGCCAGACTGGGCAACTTAGAAGACCCTGTGTCAGACAGAAGACCAAAGAGGCCCAGAGTGCAGCTCAGTGTAGAGAGTCCTGGGGTTCAAGGTGCAATAAAAAAGGTAGATATTTTACAAGGAATCTTCTCTGGTCTTAACAAACAAGATAAAGTTAGGAATCAATAAAAGAAAAAAGAAAAATGAAAATGAAAATTTCACAAAATTGTGGAATTAAGCAATTTCCTTAAACAACCAGTGGGTCAAAGAAGAAATCACCGGGAAAAGTGGCGATGGGTGGAAAGGAAAACCTGCAGCAAGGCCTTTGAGACACGGTGGAAGCAGCACTGCTGACGGCCCGTCCCCAGAGAATAGCACCGGAAGGGACAGCCTCGCTCACCTCTCAGAGCTAGGGATGGCAGAGGGACAGCAGCAGAGACCCGAGAGACGCTGACACACCCAGTCCTCCCCAGCCACAGCGCAGCGAGTGGGAAAGGAAGGAGCCACACTCTCCCCATGGGCCGCTGGTGGGGTCCGCTAGAACCCAGGGAAGCCCCTGGGGCTCATGAAGAGTCCAGACCAAGACACAAACACCGTGTGTCTCCATACCAGCACTGAGAAATCCATCAGGAAATTAAGAAAACAATTTCCCTTATAATAGAATCTAAAGGAATCAAATACCTAGCAAGGGATCTCAGGGAGGACGTGAAAGGCTCATATGCTGAGAACCAACAGTTTGCTAAAGCAAGGAAAGGCTGTCTAAAAAGCCCAAAGTCATCCCATGTTGGCGGACATTGGAGATCCTCTGTCTGTGTCCTCAGGACACCTGGAGATGGAACATTCCAGAGATTCGTGTTACCCCACGGTGTGATCCTGGGGTAACTAGAGGGAGCTAACCCCTCTTCCTGTCCACTTGGTCACTGTTAGACCTGTGGCCCACCCTGGGGAATGCAGCATGAACACTTTAATGTTTCCAACTGGGGAGATCTTTGTTGGGGGGAAACACCCTAATTGTGAGGCCATATCTCAGGCCATTGCTTTCATTTGGGGAAACCCACCCCCATGCATGAAGGGGCCTAGGTTATTCTTTGGCAAGAAAGTTTGTTAAAGACGTTGTCATGCTAGGTGCAGAGGCTTCTGCCTATAATCCCAGAGGCTCAGGAGGCTGAGGCAGGAGGACCACAAGTTCAAAGCCAGTCTCAGCAAAAACAAGGTGCTAAGCAACTCAGTGAGACCCTGTCTCTAAGTAAGCTATAAAATATAAAGGTCTGGGGATATGGCTTAGGGGTTGAGTGCCCCTGAGTTCAATCCCCGATACCCTTCCCCTAAAAAAATAAACAAATAATGTTGTCATGAGCCTTGAGTGGTCAGAGCACCCTCTCTGTGGGGTCAATCACCATCAACCACAGGGAGGGCTTCAGGGGTGGACGGACTGGGCTTGGAAGGTTGACCCAGGCTAAGGGGTGGGGGAGGGGTGGATGTTCACCGGTGACATGGACAGCACGACTTGCTCAGAGTTCACATCACTCAGGGCTCTCCAGGCCACTGGAAAGGCCACCCTCAAATGACCAAGCAAGGAGGCCATGAGGAGCTGAAGGCTGGAGAGCCTGGGCCAGGTCCCTGCAATTGCCTGGAGGGAGCGTTCCCAGGGAGAGTCCCTGGAGCTACTGGCTGGGCTTCCAGTCCCCCAAGGAGTGTCTCTGTGGATGCTGAGGACGGACCTTAGAGCTGCTCCTGGACACTGCAGGGGGAGGGAGAGGGACCGGGTGGTGGGAACGGGGTCATTCCCAACACCAAGTCAGGGTGTGCGTAGGGAGGGGAATGTGTCTGATTTCCCTTCAGTGCACTGTGCCAGTCCCCTGGAATAATGCCCTGCCCTAGCACTGGCCCTGCCACCTGGGGTCGCGGGGATAGGTGGGGGCTCCTGGAGAACCACACCAAGGCTGAGCACAAGCCCATGTGCTTGGGAGACAAAGCCATCTGACTTAGCTTCCTATGAGGCCAATGTTGCTGCACCCCTTCAGCAGGACCAGCTTGTACCTGCACACATTGAGCTCCTCAGGTTTTTCTTGAGATGCGTCAAGACCATGGCTTCAGCCTCCACAGAGTCCCCTTCATCCTTGGGGCCAGCAACAGGCTGTGACCATCCTGCAGGGGCAGTGCTATGACCATTGGCTCCAAATGCCACTCACCTGCAGTTTCTGAACTGTCTGCCCATCAGCTCTGTGTTCAACTCAAAGGAAGCTGCCCCCTCCATCCTGGGCGTGACTGGGCAGCACACTTCTCCACACTCACCAGCTGAGGCACAAGAGTTTCCAGGGCCAGAAACCCACAGCAGGATGCTTAAACTATCCAGGATGTAGTTGAGCAACACATGTCACGCTAAGAACCAGAACAAGACAGACAGTAAAAAGACCCAACACCAAGATGCTCTGATGTGGGGCTGGGGCTGGGGCTCAGTGGTGGAGCGCTTGCCTAGCATGCATGAGGCACTGGGTTCAATCCTCAGCACCACATATAAATAAACAAATAAAATAAAGGCATTCTGTCCATCTACAGCTACAAAAAAAAAGATGTAGAGCTCAAAGTAGATGTCAGGAAAATGCTGCAACAAGCCTTCACAAACAGGAACATCTCAGCAAAGAGACTGAAGGTATGGAGGAGTAAATGAGAAAACATGGTGGCAAAAATTCTAAGAACTCAGTGAATGGAGGTCGGGAAAGACAAAGGAACAGGAAAGCCAACCCAACACCCCAACAAGGCAACGGTCACCACGGAACAAGGGAGAGACCTGTGGCAGAAAGGACCTCAGGGGCCAGTGAACCTCAGCAAAGAGGAACCCGGGAAATGAAGGAGCGCTGAGGAACCAGTGGCAGGTGACCCCCGAGGCTGGTGGCCCACTCCAACTGAAATGTTCAAGAACCAAACAAAGCCAAATGGGAAAGGCCAAAGAAATCCAAAGACACGAGACAGGAATGAAATTTTGACCCCAAAGCCCCTTTGTTGAATCCCTGGCCCCCCGTGGGATGGAGCCTCGGTGGAGCCTTTCTGGGTGCCTGGGCTTGGGTGAGACGGTGAGGTGAGTCCCCAAGGCAGCAGCAACGCAGCTCCAGCAGCAGACTTCACCCACGTGTGGGTCAGTGGGCAGGAAGGGCCCTCACCCCACCGGGCACACCAGCACCTCCGTCTCAGCTTCCTACCTCCAGACTTTGAGGTGTAAGGGTAAAAGAAATTGAAGTTAAAGCGTAAAAGTTAAAGGGTAAAAGACCGGGTGTTGTGAAAGTTTCTAAGCTGCAAGGTCTGAGTTAAAATGTAAAGGATTAGGTATTGTTAGGTTTCTATGCTACCTGCAAAACCTGAAATTTCTGTAGCTGTTAAGACAATGCTTGGAACTGCCCAGTAAATATTTCCCCTGACTATTTTGTTTAATAAGGGCTCTGTGTGGTCGCACGTAGGCATTGCAGGGCCTGGACCAATCAGTTTAAATGTAACCCCCTCCTTAGGAATGACCTATCACTCCAGCCTGACCTGTTCCCGCCAATGAATGAACTAATCATGTTTAGGAGTTGTTGTTAAATTTTCCCGCGCCTCATGATGATTTGTTCTGATGTATACAAAGCCCTCCGCCCTCCCCAAAAAGTGTACTTAAGCAATGCTCAGCCCCTGCTCGGGGCTCTGGGCTGCTTTCCCTTCTTGAGTGGGCATGGAGCCCCAGCATGCTGGTTCAATAAATCCCCTTCTGCCAATTGCATGAGTGGTCACTTGGTGGTCTCTTTCTCCGACGTTTCGCGGGATCCTTACAGAGGGAACCGTGAAGTCCATAGTGTCTTGAACGGCGGCTTCAGCAGACTGGAACAACCACAGCCACCAACTACCAAAAGCCAAAGGTATGATGGAGGGAAGTTACGCTGGACCCTCAGAAGACCATGACCCAGAGCAGCCCAGCAGGTCCTCATGTGACAGAAGGAAAGCACCTGGAGCTGCAGCCCTGTCCAGTGTCTTTCAAGAGCGGAAAGAAAGTTTGCTGTGACAGCAAACCAAGGATTCCCTTCCAGATTCTTCACCAGCAGGGCCCTCAGAGAAGGACTAAGAAACTCCTGATGGGAGAGAAAAAAATCCCAAAGGAAATAGAACAGAAATAGTAAAAATGTGGATGAATACAGCACACTCTCCTCTTCATCTTTCTCAATCGTGTTTGAGGGTTAAGACAACAAGGTGTAAGAATGAAAAACCAGCCTCTATCTCAGAGCAAAGCCTGTCCAAGGAAGGGACATGGC